CCTGATTCATAGTGCAGAGTAACCGTTTGACGATTGTGGTCACGTCTACCTCCACCCCATACACCTGTTTCCACTGCAAATATCCCTTCACTGCGATCGAAAAGAACAACTTTATGCTTACTTGATTTTTCTTCGTTCTTCTGCATTTGCTCAAAAATGTCATGTGCTATCGGATGACCAGATATCTCCCTCCCTATCGCTAGCTGCAGCCGAGCCACCCGCCACTCGTTGACCTTCCAGTATGACATCTCCACTATGACAGAAATAGGCATCGCTCGAAGGCCCTTGTACACATTATTTATACTTTCTCCATGGTTGGTAGTTGCAATGCCTCATCTGGCCCCGTTGTCCATATGGAACGTCCACATGGCCAATTCTTGACCTTCAACCCATACTGCTCTAGCTCGGTGAGTCTGACGGATCGTCTTCATCTTCTGCTCGTACTTTTTTGGCTGATGTGCAACCGCTGCAAGGTGAACAATATAGAAATGGTCAATACATGATAAACAACAAATTATTAAACACATAGTTAACTCGCATTAAAGGACATTAGTACCTGCATGCCACAATTGATTTTTGATGTCTTTCTTCTTTCCAAATTTGTGTTGGAAATTGGCGAGCCAGTCTCGAATACACCAGCGCCATGTCCATCCCCACTCGTCAGGAAAACCACCCACGGCATTCCTAATCCCCGCGTGTCGATCGGATATAATCGTAACCCCCTCCCGCTAGGGGTGGGCATCCGGTTCGGTAAACCCGAACCTAACCGAACCGAACCGACTTCAAACCGAACCGAAACCGAAATTTTGTTGTTCGGTTCGGAAATCGGAAACAAAAAACGCATAGTTCGGGAGTCAGGGTCGTGTTGGCCGAACCGACAATCCGAACACCGAACCGAAAAACCGAAAAACTTAATATACATAGCCCAAACCCTCACTTACAGCCCAACTCTCCCCACACCCTACCGAGCCCAAACCCTCACTTACAGCCCAACTCTCCCCACAACCCTACCCTCTAGGCAGTCCGCCCCCTTTCCCACTCACGGTCGTCGCCGCTCCACTCCGCCGCTGTCTTCTCAAGGACCTCGATTCCTCTGGCTCTCCATCGACGCCGTCCCACGCAGAGCACAGCCGACTGACCCCTTCCCATTCCCTCCACCCGCTCCAATCTCATAACCAAAAACCTGTAAAGCAAAGAATGAAACACATTCAAAGAACAAAAAGAGGCAAAATCCATAAAAAAATCTCTAATTGTAAGAAGCAAAATGAGGAGACAGAGAAGAATTGAAGATCGGCAACATGCAAAGCACGAAGAAAGCAGTAGTAGATGGGGAATCTAGATCTACAATCTGGGATTTGGGACTCTCTCAGTGAGAGATGTAGATGCGCGACCAAAATAAAAAACAGAGACGAAGGAGAAAAAAACAAACCCAAATTTACATGCAATCGCTGCCGCCGCTGGGTTGTCTTCTCCGTCGATGACCATCGTCGCCTGAGTTGTTGTCATTGCCGTTGATTGCATGCCGCCGCCGGGTATTCCTCTCCGTCGAACGCCATCGCCACCTGAGTTGTGCAGGCCTGGAGTGTTTTGGGTCTGATAGGTAGAGGATGATGGTCGAGATTGGGGGAATCGGGGTGTCGGGGAGAAGAGACGATGGTCGTCGGTCGAGTTGGGGGAATAACGGAGTCGGGGAGTCGAGGAGAAGAGACGATGGTCGTCGGTCGAGTTGGGGGATTCTGGGAGAGAGGGAGAGGAGAGGATGATCGAGTTGAGAGGGAGATGTGATGATTGTAGAGTAAGAGTTGGGGGGAGTCGGAGATCGAGGGAGAGACTGGAGATGGAAGTCGGAGATCGAGGGTTTGAGGAAGAGAGCGGAGAGGCCAGAGCAAGAGAGAGGATTGGTGGCGGGTCTGGCGGCTGTAAGTGTGACCCAAAACCCTAAAGGAAAGGGGGATAGAAAAGAAAATGAGGAGGCGCTGGTGCCTGGTGGTGGGCAATTATCTTTCGGGTTTGAGTCTTCCGACCGAACCGAACCGGAATATAATTCGGTTCGGCCAAACCGAACCGAATTATATTTCGGTTCGAATTCGGTTGAGGGATTCTGTGATTCGGAAAATCGGGATATACTAATTCGGTTCGGTTCAAACCGAACCGACCGAACGCCCACCCCTACCTCCCGCTGTGTCACGTGTTCGTGTAGTTGGTCAAAGAACCATGCCCAACTTAAGATGTTCTCCCCTTCCACTATTGCAAATGCAAACGGGAAAATCCGTCTGTTTCCATCAACGCAGTGGCAATGAGAAGAGTTCCTCTGTACTTCCCAGTAAGGAAGGTTCCATCAACCTAATTAAATATTAGGAAGTAATTAGTATGAAATTTACTTGGTCTGCAAGAATAGAAATGTTTCTAATAGTAAACATGTATTAAAATACCTGAATAACCGGTATGCAGAATGCAAATCCGTCAATGCATGGTTTGAAAGCCCAAAAAAGACGGTGAAACATCAATTTCTCCTGTACTCGAACTTGATCCTCAGTGTATACATTGTTGTATACTGGCACGAAAACAATCCTAGGGTTGGACTCCTCCATTGCGGCCATAAGTCTAGGGAGTAAAGCATACGAACCCTCTCAATCACCATACACCTCAGCCATGGCTTTCTGCTTTCCATGCCATGCTTTTTTGTACCTTATCGTGTAAGAATGTCGATCCTTCACCTCGGCCATGATAGCTTTGACCTTGATATCTGGTTGTGCTTCGATAAGGTGTTTAATAGTTCTCCCAATTTTCTTTGCTTTCAATTGCCTGTGATCCTGGGAACGTATGGACGAGGAGCAAGTGTGATTGGTCTCAGCTTTTCGAATCACCCATACACCATTTCTCTTCATATTTGCAGCCCGCAGTTGCCACGTACAGCCCTCTGCATCATTCTTGCATATGACATGTAATTGTTTACTGTCAGAATATTTTACCTTCCACTTGAAATTGCGCCTCAAGGCCTCTTCGGTAAAGGCATCCTGCACAGCGTCCTTCGATGAGAACCCCATACCCACCTCCAAATTGGCCGTCGGATTATACACTGGCGTAGGGACAAAGTCGGGGGCATCATTCTGACTATGTAAAAATTGAGTTGGAACCTGTGTGTAGTATGGCGTCGGTGCCTCACGAAATACCATCTCGTCGTCGTTATCATCAGTATCTTCCTCCTCGCTCACTGATCTCAAATCTTCCTCAGTATCATCGTCGCTCGAGTCGAATGGATAGCTCGGCCCAGAAGGATCAACATGACCACCATCACCAACATCGTCTTCTCGCTCATGTGAAGTACGCCCTGCTCGAATGGTATTCTCGATTTCAGCCCACTCAGGCCCCCAAGCAGGCCATTGAACGCCATCGGCAGGTTGATCCTGTTGCAAGTATTCTTCCGATGGCACCCATCCTGCACTACTACCTCCACCATAGTTGATTGAACTACCACCCTCTCCGTAACCTCCTCTATAACCACCTCCTTCGTAGTTGCTCGAACTACCACCCCATCCGTACCCTCCTGCAAAACCATCATCATAAGAATACTGGTGAGAATGAGTTTCACCGACCGCCTCGGTCTCAACATACACCTCTGCTTGCCGCATCCCGTTATCGCTTAGGAACTGTAACATCATCGTAACCGCGTCATCATCGTTTATGACAACTTCTTGGTACACAAGCCCGCCAGTACTCATACATGGATACCGGTAATTAATTTTACCAAGTCTCGTCTGTCCGCTCGTACAAACCCTGTCTGCACAAATATCACAGAGTTTTTGAAAATTGAATCGCGACTCAATTTTCAGCTTAGTGGATACACCGTCCTCATAATCAATCCCTATGTCAGAGTTTGTAACCCTTCCATTCCACCGAATAATAAGCTGCAACTTCTTGAATTTATCCATATCTACAATTTACAATAAGTAACTATTAGCATAATTCCAGTAATTCATAACATCAACCATATTTGCTACGATAAGTAATTCATAACATAACAATATAACTACTAAAAACAACCATTAGGAATTAATACGAAAATTAAATCATACCGAAAATTCATGTTTTGTGTATGTTGCTCAGTTTTGGATGCTGAAATTTGAAGAGGGGGGAGGGATTACGTTTTTAGAACTGCAGGTGAGAGTGGTATTTAAAGAAAAATCGGCCAGTATTCACCGCCTTTGTCTCAAACGGTGAACAACATCACCGCGTTTGTCTCAAACGGTGAACATTAGGTAGTTGTGACCTAATTTTCACCTACCAGGTTTGGGAAACGTGGGAAATAATCACCGCCTTAGCCTGAGGCGGTGAATATGTTCCCCACTTTGCCCTAAGACGGTGACGTTTTCACCGCTTTTAACTTAAACGGTGATGTCTTCACCGTTTTTGTTAAACGCGGTGAACACTTCACCGCTTTGTACAAAGACGGTGAACACGTCACCGTTTTATTTTAAAACGGTGATATGTTCACCGTGTTTGACAAAAGCGGTGATTATATTCACTGCGTTTGTCAAAACGGTGAATGCCAAACATGTGTAGTTTTGGAAAAAAAATTATAACTTATGTATTTTGAGAATATTTTTTTTAAGAACTAGTGTACTTTAGAATTTTTTCCATATTGTATTCCATAGTTAATGAAATTTAGGCTTATTTAATTTGATAATAATCATGGTAACCATTTAGCCTTATTAAAAACTGGTTATGTCTCGAGCCAAATAGCGAAGCAAATTAATGGGCCTAAAGAGCCTTTGTTATAGGGCAACGGACTCTGGCTAGAATTTTCACTCGTCACTTGACAGCGGATTCTTCGAAACCCCACCCACCCACCGCTAAACCCATCAAACCGCCAACAGAACCGACTTTGAAAGTCCGTTTCTTTTAAAACCAAAACCAGTCATCAAAACCATCCAACTCGCCAACAGAAGTAGTCAATCCAACTTGTCTGCCCCTTAGAATTTCCTTTTTAACGCACTCAAACACTTCTTCTTGCTAGCGCATCACTACCCAAAAAGAAAAGAATCCGACTTTATCCAGTTTCGTTCACCAACATCCCAATAAAAACAATGTCGACACTGGAAACAACAGCCTCGTCGCCACCGCCGGAGCACAAGAAGATATTCCTGGCGGCAGTGGACGAGAGCGAAGAGAGCATCCACGCCCTGTCATGGTTCGCCAACAAAATCCTGCCGGCGTCTTCCTCCGGCCACCACCACCGCTCTACTCTCGTCCTTCTCTACGTCAAGCCTCCGCCGCCGCTCTATTTCTCCCCTGACGGTAAGCCACGAAAGTTCCAATCTTTTCCCCTTTTTCCCCACCTTCTCCTCTTTCCCCTGTTTTTCTGACCGTATACTCTGTTTTTCGGCGGGGGGATGCAGGGCATGTGTTTTCGGCGGATGTGATGGCGGCAATGGACAAGTACAGAAACGACGTCGCGGAGTGCATCATGGTAAAGGCCAAAAGGGTCTGCAAAGAAGCAGCTGGTGACAATGATAATGGTGATTACCAAGTTAAGGTGGAGACGATGATAGAGAATGGGGACGCGAGGGATGTGATTTGTCAGGTTGCTGAAAAGCTAGGTGTTGATGTTCTTGTGATGGGCAGCCATGGCTACGGCCCCATCAAGAGGTAATAATCTAAGCTTCATCTAAGGAGTTAATCGCTTATAGTGGTTAGTATGCTAATCGTTGATTATCTGCTAATCCTTAATTTTTCCTAATGGCAACAACAGGGCGTTTCTTGGGAGTGTGAGCAACCAATCTAGTTATGCTCCTAACAAGGGCACTTGTTAGGAGATGCTAACAGGGGCGGATCGGCCTCCACGTCGCCAAGGCTGCATCCATCGGTGGAGGAGAGAATGAGCCGATTTCATCGGCTGGGCAAAGCCCACAGCGGCTTGCGGGGCCCGTCGGGCCCACTAATTCAAAAACCCAAAAAAAAAACCCTAAACCACCTACCCCTTTTCAGTTCTCCGCCCATTTGGTTTTCCCCTCCTCTCTCTCCCTTTCTCTCTCCCTTTCCTCTCCCTTTCCTCCTCTCCCAAACGCAGACGAACGGCCGCGGTGCAGCAAACTCGGCGGCCGCGAAGTCGGCGGCAGCGAAGTCGGCGGCAGAGATCTCGGCGGCCACGACGAAGCAGCAAACTCGGCGTTCTCGGCGGCGGCGACGAAGCAGCGAAGTCGGAGTTCTGAAGTTGTAGATCTCGGCGGCGGCGACCTTACAGCGAACTCGGAGATCTCGGCGGCGGCGACCTTGCATCGATCTCGGCGGCGGCGATCTCGGCGGCGGCGATCTCGGCGGCAGCGATCTTGTCGGCGGCGACGAACTCGGCGATCTCGGCGGCGGCGCTTTGCAGGGAACTCGGGTTCTTGATCAAGTAAGGTTTGAAGCATAGTTTGTGGATATTAGTTTTCGATTGGACAGATTTGAGTTAGGGTTGCATGGTTGCGTTCTTCTGTGGATTTTGTTTCTGAGTTTTGTGGAATGGCTTCTGTTTGTGTCGATATTTAGTTCTGTTTGTGTCGATTTTGTTTATTTGATGTGCTTAGGATGTTAGTTCTTTTTATCTCTGATATATGTTTTCTGTGCCACTGATATTAGTATCGTTGCTTAGGATGTTAGTTCTTTTTATCTCTGATATATGTTTTCTGTGCCATTGATATTAGTATCGTTGCTTAGGATGTTAGTTCTTTTTATCTCTGATATATGTTTTCTGTGCCATTGATATTAGTATCGTTGCTTAGGATATTATTTCTTTTCATTCGTGATATTAATAACCATGCATGGGATAATCGTTGTTTTCATTTATGATATTTGTTTTGAACTTTTTTTTTTTTACTGGATCTGGGTTTCTTTGTTTTCTGAGTTTTGTGGATATGTTTTGTGTGCGTTTCGATATTAATTCTGTTCGGGCAGGATATCAGTTTTCATAGTGGATGGATAGTTGTGTGGTTGAGATCTGGGATTCGAATTATATATCCAAAACATTAGTTCCTTTCATAGTGGATAACAATTAGCATGCTTGTGGATATGTTTTCTGGGTTTGTGGATTTGATTGGATCTGGGTTTGGGTTGCTGAGGTTTGGGGATTTGGTGGATTTGACTGGATCTGGGTTTCATTGTTTTCTGGGTTTTGTGGATATGTTTTATGTGCGTTCCGATATTAGTTCTGTTCGGCCAGGATATCAGTTTTCAATTGTCTGGATAGTTGTGTGGTTGAGATCTAGGATTCGATTTGTAGATCCGAAACATTAGTTCCTTTCATAGTGGATAACAATTAGCATGCTTGGGATACTACTTTTTTATGATGTGGAATTGTTCTGTAATTGATTGTTCGGATATTAGTTATGTGTGTCTGGATATTTATTTACTCCGTCTTGATATTTCTCTGCCTTATATGGATGCTAGTTCACTTATATTAGTTCTGTGCAGTTGAGATATCTGTTATATTATGTCTGCATATTTATTCGTTGTATCTGGATATTACTTCTATAATGTTAGTTCTGTGATGTCCAGATATTAAAAATATTATGTCTGGATATTTGTACTCCATGTTTGGATATTTGTTCTCAATGTCTGGATATTTGTTTGCTCTTTATTGTATGGATTATAGTTACCTTATATTAGTTTTGCGTGGCCGGGATATCAGTTGATTTATACGTGGATATTTATATATGTTTCAGGGATATTGGACAATGGCAAGAACAAAAACAACATCGAAGAGACCGTAAGAGAAGGATCATCCCAACCTTTGTCGTGGCATAATCGAAACGTGGGGGGGGGGGGGGGCTCGGAGGGACATGATAAAAAAGATAATCGAAAATTTGCACAAACAAGACAACATTTGAAATTTTCCTTTTTTTATGTGGTTATAATTTTTTAGATTTTAGATTATGGGATTGCCAAGTTGGAATGAGAATAAATACTAATTGTATCGCGGTTTATCGAAAAACGACTTTGTTTTATTATGGATTTGCTTAAACTAAATATCAACACAAACAAACATAGATAAACATCCACAAAAAAACAAATGCAAACCACCCAGAATAATGTCCGTTCACACTAAAAAAAATCCAGAACACCTAGACTAATATCCCACCGCCTAAGACCAATATCGAGTCAGCCTGTAATTAATATCCTCACCACACAGACTAATACCCATCACACACAGATTAATATATGGATGTCTTACACTAATATCCGACTACACAGCAAAAATATCCACACATCATGAACTAATATCCTCCAATCACATAATAATATCTTATCACCACACACTAAAATCGACCATCCTACATTGTGTTCAAAATCATTTCCACAATATTGTCTTCTAAACCCGAAACCAAAACTCAAACCCTATATCTGAAACCCTAATCGTAGACACTAAACAAAAGCTTGAACCCTGAACCCTTAACTCTAAACCTCAACCCCAAAGTCAAATCCTAAATCCTAAACTCCAAACCCTAAATCGTAAACCCTAATTCTAAACTCTAAAGTCTAAACCCTAACACTAAACCCTAAATTGATGTAATCATATACAAATCAGTAGATAAACATCCACATAGAACAAATATCCAAACTACCCAGACTATTATATGACCTTAGCAAACTAATACCCACCACACACAGATTAATATCTGATCATCACAGACTAATACCCACCACACGTAGATTAATATCTGGCCATCGCAGACTAATACCAACTACACAAACTCTAAACCCTAATCGCTAAACACTAAATCCCTAACTCTAAATCCTAATCGCTAAACCGTAAATTGGTGTAATATGGTTGGCTAAGTTTGTGATGCTACATGCTTAAATAAACAAAGGATCACATCGGAATAGTTACCAAAAGTGCCCCAATATCCGTACAACATAAAAAATATCCACATCACCCAGACTAATATTCGTTCATACCATAAGAAATATCCGCACCAACCCTAACTAATATCCACCAGTTTCAGACTAATAATATCCAGCTACACAGCCAAAATATCCACACATCCCGAACTAATATCCTCCAATCACATAATAATATCTGTTTGAACCTAACTGAGTGTATGAGTGAGGTTCGGGAAAGAAAGTGGGTCAAGGGAGGTAAGCAAGGAAAATCGACCGTATTGATGTAGAACCAAGATCTTGGGAAACAGGGATGAGAGAATTAATTTTTAGAGAGAGAAGTCGATGTTTTTAGAGATAGAGCCTTCTAAACCCAAAACCAAAAAACTCGAACCCAATACCCGAAACCCTATTCGTAAATCCTAAACCCTCACTCTCCTACTATTATTGTTTCATGGGCCTTCGGCCCATAGGCCCTCGGCGGGCAGCCCTAACTAAGGTTGCAAGCCTTATGTGTTAGGACTTGATAGTTTGTTAGTTTTGATGGAATACACAATATCCATTACATCACAAACTAATATTCATTGCATATAATATCAGTTCATGAAAAAATAAATATTCATACTGAAAAACAGATAAATATCTACACAAACAAGCATAGATAAATATCACAAATTAATATCCAACCATTTAGCCATAAATATCCTCTATAGCCAAAAGAAATATTCATTGTAACCACACAAGTGAGAAATAGAAAAAGAAAAAAAAAAGGTGTTGAGAAATAGAAAAGTGGTGGACCCAGCGCCACTTTTCCTTCCTTTCCCAATCCCGCCCAAATTATGGTGGGGCCAAAGCCACCTTTTCAGTTTTGCGGCTGGGCCGGCTCATCTCCAAGTCCAAGATCAGCTAACTTAAATGAGCCATTACAAGCCTTCAACCCTCCTCCCTTGGATCACTTGTGGGCCGACGTGGCTATCATCTCCACCATGTCAGTATATGCTAACAAGTTCCCCTGTTAGCAGTTTCGGTGAGCAACCATTGTGCTCAGAACGTGAAGTGTCCAATCTTGATTATCAAGAGGCCCAAATCCAACAACTAGTGATTCGTAGTTCATCATTCCATGTTGTACTTTGTGTGTGTCTTAAAATTAAAGGATCATCATCCAACCTTGTAATTTGTATTTCCTCCATTAGATTTAGGAGCTTCTGTGTTTTTGATCCTCTAGATTATTTACTTTTGTGGATACTAAATAAGAAATAATAAGCATTCTCGCCACAAGTTATCTGAATTCTATTGGGACAATTGAAAAACTTTTTTGTGATTTACAAATGATTAGTAATTGGTGTTTTATTCTCACTGCAAATAATAAGCTCTCTCGCCAGAAGTTATTTCAATAGTAAATTATTATTAGTATAATTAATTGGTGAGTAGACTTAAGAGGTTTACTATCCTACTTGCGAGTTCACAGTAAGCTTTGTGGACCCGTTTATTCCCTTAAACCACCGCCCCTTCAGTTCCCACTATCTTCCCCGCGACGATTTTCTGGCGATTGGCCAAGTTGGCGGGTCACCATGCGTAACAATCCTGTTTCTTCCCCCTTCTTCCCTCCGACGATTCACTGGCGATTGGCCAAGCTGGATCCTCTCGCCGGATTTTCTACAGTCGCTACTCCTCCCAGCTTCTAATTGGAGAGTTCACCGTAAATCCCCTGCGAATAACTCTGGTCTAGCCGCCGATCCTCACCGATCGTTCATATAACCTTCATTCTCCGATCGGTGGCTGGACAAATTGGGACTCCAATTCATATGATAGATTCTTTTCAAGACCCTTATGATCCTCGACGTACTCTTAGCTAGGGAAGTAACCTCCTCCCCCTC